CGTTGTCTTCTGAATTCGCAGCATAGCTAGAACTAAGCATGGCTTTCTTGTTTCTCATTTCCTAGCAATTCTTCTTTCAAAGGTACCACTACCCGGACCAACAGAAGGTGCAATTTTCACCATTTTTAGTAGAATGATTCACCCATGACTTGGGTCTTGGGTCCACCATCCCACTTTACCAGGGCGGATACCTTCCATCCTTCCCCTTAGACTTCGTTACCTCCCAAAAAAAGAAAAGTAAGATCAATTTATATTGTGATTTCACACAATAACAATAAAACAAGTAGAGTAACCATGAGATAGAATCTTTAGCATGGCTCAAATTAAGTTTCCTTTTTGCTGTTCGGAGTTGGATAATTAATTGAGCCTCCCGGGCTTTCTTTCCTTGCCTTGGCCCATTCATTCCCGCAACCTGCTTCCATTGCAGTGGTCCGGATCCGGTAACCAAATCGCTCCCCCATAGAGAAGGATGAGCTTAGCTAGGGTTGTCTTCTTCTCGCGGGTAATTCACCTTGTTCCCGTCTAGCTTGTCTGCGTATTCCCAGCAAGCATCTTTTCCCCAAACCATGCTTGTTAAGGATTTGTTTAATTGTGATGCCGCTCTCCCCCCTCGAACCGACTGAAGCGGATGACGGCGATCCATGCAGCGCACATAGCGGCGTGGACTTTCAGCTGCTTGTACGCCTCAGCCTTGTCCGACTCCTCCTTCTGCTCATCGACGGCGTCACTATACTATTGAAAACAATCTCGGTGCCAACGACCGCCGGCAAGCACGGTAAGGCAATGGGCGATGGAAATCGCTCAAGCCAGAATCGGTATCCTGTTCAGTACATAACGATAGCAACCAAACGTCTTAAAATTGTTAGAAACCGAACATAAAATTTAGGGTTACCAATCTGGCTGAGTCGCGGACTAGGTCGCTCTCTTTAAGACGTTCGCGGCACTGCCTCGTATTGCGTACAGCAGACTATCAGCCGGTCGCCTCCAGGATAAAACAGTCATTCTAATTTTCTTGCTCATCGGTTTTGTGCGAAAAACCGGAGCTCTATGAATTCACTCTCTCTCGTGTTTCTGCTCTTCTGAGGTGTGTTTAGAGGGTCTGGGACGTCTCCTAATTATAGGAGCAGAAAACCCAGAATATTCCCTCTTTCTTTGGGAACAAGTCACATTTTAATTAGGGAGATAATTACTCCCATAATTAAAATATATTATATTAAGATAATTAATTCTAATTATCTCCATAATATTCTTTTTATTAATTATCCTTCTATTTTCGTATATAGAAAAATACTGGATAATTAATTCAATATAGCTTTCAAAGCTATTCATTCCCAACATATAATATAAGCTTGTGATGTGAGCCTCGGCCGTGTGTGTTGGTATAATCAGAAACCACCTAGTAGAGTTTGTTGAGATCTGAACCTCTCCGTCGAGTAGTCATATTCACATCAAGGGAAACCACGTTAAACCTCTTATTTTTCGCGTTTGATTTTCTACATGGTATCAGAGTTGTGACAAGATCTTCACTTTTGTTGCGTGATGATGAGTGACAAGTCGGAAACTACCGTTTCTAGCGTTGGTGGTGTTGTGATTAGCGTCGGGTATGAGTATGTTCCTGACTCTCCTTATTTTATGAGTCAATCCGACAACCCTAATCAGTTGTATGTTGGTGAGCTCCTTAACGAGACCAACTATGCAGATTGGGTGTATGAGATGACAACGTCTCTCTTGGCGAAAAACAAACTAGGGTTTGTGGATGGTTCGCTCGAGGCCCCCCACTAATCCAGGCAAACTATGTGCTTATCGCCGTGCAGATGCTATGGTAAAAGGGATGGTTAACCTCGGCCGTCAACAAACAGGTTCGTCGCGGTATGCGGCATGCTAAGACGGCTCGGGAGGTCTGGGTTGAACTAAAGGAGTGCTTTGAGCAAGGGAGTCATCCTCGTGTCTACGAAATTCGCCGCTCCATCAGTCGTTTGCCCTAGGAGAAGCTGTTTGTTTCGGAGTTTTATACACAGTTGATAACACCTAAAATAGGCGTTATTTAGCCCTTATTCTTAAGGCATTTGCATGTTAAATCACCGTGTTTGGGCCACATATCAAGTTATTCATGTCTATTTCCGTTCCTATTTGCAAAACACCCATTTTGGCATAGGTATTCTTGATATGAAGGTTTCCATGGGGAAACCGACCCCACTTTGTCATAATTTATGCTTTTCCAATGTTTGTGATGAAATTCCCGTTCTTATATGCATTTGGGATTGATCGATAATCAATTGGAGTCCATCTGAAAACGCGATTGGGAAGCATAAGAGCAAGAAGGGGAAAAAGGCACATGTCAATGCCACACGTCACGACCATGACTAGGCCGTGACCATGTTCGTGGCTTGAAGATCACAACCGTGAACAGTGGCCGCGGACATTAGCAAGCGACCAAGAAGAAGTCAGAAAGTTTTAACACTAGAATCGCGGACATGGTGCATTTTGACCGCTAAAATGATCACGCCCGTGACACAAAGATCACGGTCGCGATCTTATGAAGTAGACCGCGATCTCGGAGCTTAACGAAGATGTCAAAATGCGACGTTTCGGGCGAGTCGGTGGCACTCCAGCTAGTCTCCATGGCCGGAGCTAGGATTCGGTGTTCGGGGGGGGGGGGGGGGATATTTTATTATGTTATTTCGAAAAACTATAAAAATTAAGAAAAATTATTTTAATATTATTATCGCATTTTTAGATTATTAGAGTTACTCAAAATAAAATTTATGGTGTTGTTTATTTTATGTAGACCAAATTAAATATGTCATATCCGTAAGTTCTTTCTATGAATTCATTAGGTTGTATGCTTCTAAAATTAGTATTGATTTGACCCGTTATGATGGCAAGTGTAGAAAATGTATTTTCATCTTTTAGTCGGGGGACGAAGACATGATTCAACGTTCATAAGGGAGGTTTATTAGGTTAATACAAAAAGATAAGAAAATAAATAACTCGTTTTAATATTATAATAACATCAATTCTAGATGATCAAAATGAACTAAAATTTTGTATCACGGTACAATATAAATGAAAGAAGGTAAATAAATTAATAGTACATTTCAATATTTTGTAACACATTCTATTTTTCATATTTGAAAATCATCATCTTGTCTAGTATCTTCTAAAAAAATTCTTCATTCATTATTTACGCGAAGAGTATTCTTTAAAATTTTAATTTGAAGAACTTAATTGATTTGATTTTATAGTATAGAATTTAAGAAAACAAAATATACACTTATGAGACTAAAAGACTGAAACCTTATTGAATTTAATAGAAATAAGAAGAACTACATGATGAAAAATGAATGGGAAGTTATTAAAACTGAAAAGTTACAATCATAGCATCTGCATGCAATGGGTTTCGAACCCTTAACCAAAAGGATGTATTATCAAGTTTTTTTTTAATAAATGTATTATCAAGTTTGCATTTGCTATTTGTTTTTCATTTTGCACACTAAATGCTTGTATACATCTCACACTTAACTTTTCCGCCGGGGGGGGGGGGGGGGGGGGGGCATTGCCATCACTCTTAAGCCCACTTTTATCAAGAACATTAATCTCATTAGAACGTGCTGGTTGTCCACTATCCATTACACCAGTAGGTGCTGCAACAGCACAATTACCACTCTCACTAGTGGGATTAGGAAGCTGGGACTGAGATCCCACAGTAGGTGCAGAAGTAGTACCAATGGTTTCATCACCTCCACTAACAATTGGAGTTCCGTCTTCGGAGGCATTCAAAGCCATATCAATTATCAAGCACCTACACAAAGCAAAATCATAGTGAATTGAGTGAGCTATGACTGTTCCACTACTTAACCAACTCTTAATGCAGTGCATACAAAGCATTATCTATCCATTTCGTGCCTAAAGGTAACCAGCTTGTTAGCAATTACCCTATCTAGCTAATTGTAGAGCTTTTGCCTCAAATGCCAGAACAAGGCAATATTTACCATCATCAGTAACCTAACAAAGGACAAGAATATGAGCAAAGCAAGAATGAAGCCACATCAACTCAACTCGGAGGATGAAACACAAAAGGAGCCTATAAATTACAAGTTATCTGAAATCTGAAACTAAACACAAAACTGAAGGAACCTACTTCTTCACGAATCTTTTGTAGGACAGGTGCACTCCTGCGGGAGAGGGCGGCGTGACTGAATCAGGAGAGGAGTCGGAGGCGCGGCCTCGTAGCAGAGGAGAAGGGAGAGTGCGGTGACGGAAATCAGGAGTGGACTGTGGAGTTGGAGGCGCGGCGGCTGCGCAGCAGAAGATTAGGGAGAGGGGCGACCGGCGAGACAGGTTTTGGACGGTGGCGGCCGTTGGATTGGAGTAGGCCGTCGGGAGTCGGGACGGTAGGGCAGACTGGAGGTGGAGACTTGACTCTGGAGATCGCGAAAGGAGAGGGGCGGCAGAGGCGCGGCGGCAGCGTAGCAGAAGAGTCGGGAGAGGGGCGGCCGGCGAGATAGGTTTTGGACGATGGAGGCCTTTGGATTGGAGTCGGGAGTCGGGATGGTGCTTCGACTGGAGGTGGGGACTTGACTCTGGAGATCGCGAAAGGAGAGGGGCGACAGTATGAATTGTTTGGGAAATTTCGATCTGTATAAATTGTTTGGGAAATTAGGGTTAGTCACGCCTGTCCGGGTATCCACGGGTCAGGTTCCCCCAAACCCGAACCCGCCCCAACCCGCCCAAGCAGCCACCGGATTTAAACCCGAACCCGACCCAAACCCGGTCAACACAGATTTTACTCGATTTGACCGGGTTGGGTCGGGTCGGGTACCCGCGGGTCCGGGTTTCACTGCCATCCCTATTTACGATCTTCTTTGAAATGGAAACCATCCAATACTGAGAAACACTAGAGAGAACAGAAGCTATCACCTAGTCTCTTCCAGCAAAACAAAGCAGCTGTGCCCTCCAACCCCTAATTATGTTAGTAATTTTCAAAATAAGGGCATAATTACCAATACATATAACCTCACTCTTCCCAATCGTGGTCTGTGGGAAGGAATAATCATATTAAGGTGGTAAGAGTACAGAAATGAAGTCTCAAGTCAATCACAATACAGAAATGGATCATAAAGTGGTAAAAATACTATTGAAACTAGCAGAGTCTGCCCGTTGAGCAGGATACCTTGTGATTCAAGCATTTTTTGTAACATAGAATCTTATGACAACAGAGTTATTGCAGTTGTCAATGCACAATAATACTCTCCACTATCAGTTGAGCGGCTCTCTCGTAGGATCTGTAGTCAGTGTTGATGAAACACAAGGATTCCCTCCCGCCAATCAACGGATCAAGTGCTATTCAATCCCTCCTTCGCTGCTGGTGATCAATTGCCAGCACAAATCCCTCACGAGCATGGACCAATCTGCACCAAATCCGCTCATCCTTTTCCACCCTCAGTCCCTCACCGCAAGGGCAGAGAAACAATAATGAACCCTATGCAAAGGCAACATTCATAAATTTCAGTAAAGAACGAGACAGCTTCGCTGTTGCATCATCAACAATAACCCACAATGCCCTTTTTCTCATATCTTGTTTGTGAGCGAGTGTGCAGAGCTCTAATGAAGATCCTAATAGGGTCATCAGTATATATATATTAATCAGCATCAAATGAAAGTATGAAAAATCCAAAACAACCATGTCGAATGGCAATGTTCTTGTTCAAATGTAATTTCGCTAACCCTGATATATTTGTGTCTGCATAAGCTCCTACTACTATCTACGGCTTCTAAAAGATTAAAACTTTACTGAAATAAAGTACAAAATGCAAAACCAGGAGTCGTTGCTTAAGCAAAAGAGGAAGAAGCAAGAGAGTTTCATACCAGCAAGGTTGCGCGGATTCAGCTACTGCTGTTTCTTTTTCTTGCGAAATATGTACATATCAGCCTCTTCATAAGCGTAATCAGGATGCAAATCTTCATGGGGGACCTTCTCAATCTCGAAAACCGTCTCAGACATTTCCCAGAACAGCTTATGCGCTTCGGGAGACCTCAACTGATATCCCAACAGCACCAAGCCGTCGTCGGCCACCAGCGCTTCCATAGCACCAATCAGCTGTACCGCCGACTCCTCTATGTACACCACGTCAGCCGCGACCACTATGTCGAACGGCGGCTTCAGCGAATTCATCTGCTCCGCGTTGTTCCAGTACAGGATCGAGGTCTTCAGCATCTTACCTAGGGTTTGCTTGTTCCGCTTGAGGTTGTGCTTGAGCGCCGGCATCACGGGGGCGATATCCGTGAGGATGATGTCGGTGAGGCCGAGGAGGTGGAGCGCCATCCCGGCGGCCCCGCAGCCGGTGCCTAGCTCGATGGCCCGGCGGTGCTTGGAGCCGAAATCGACAAGGGAGGAGTAAGGGTTTGCAGCGGAGGGCGAGACTCCTGCCCAGCGCTCGAGGAACTTAGCGAGGACGAGGGAGCACGGCCAGACGGAGGTGCCAACGTGCATCGATCCGTTGTCTTGTTGAATTGAGAGGACCTTGTCTCCGATTGGGAGCTCGATCACCGGCGAGTCTGTGAACTTCATTTTTGGTTGCCTTTCTTTCTGCTGCTCCTCTGCCGCCAGCAACGCCTCTTCTGCTCACTGTAGGCAGGATTGGACGATCTATTGCGTAGGCTCAAGGCTGGGACAATCAAAATGGGCCATCCCAAGTTATTGGGCTTCCCCGTTAATGGAGCAAGACCAACTCCAATCCAAGTATTCAAATATGGTCTCTCAACCTTTCAAATGCCCACTCTTAACTTCTCACATCACTTTTTTGTTTCAACCTTCTAAATTTATCTTGTCATATTTTATTAAGTTTTTGGATAAGTGATATTTATTTCATGCTAATTTTAAATTTATTTTTTTATAGTTTTTCAATTATTTCTGAAAATAAATTTTCTAATGTAATTTTTTTCATAATTTTGAGATAATTCAACCCCAAAATTAATCGTTAATTTACTACTGTTATTTTGGGCCATTAGTTTCATGCCCTTTTTTTGGTCGTTATTTTATGACTTTTTTGTCATTTTTTTAAGCATATGACTATATAAATGAAAATAATTTGGCATCAACACATTATACTTATATCATATTTTTTCCTCATTTCTAAAATAAACACATGTATAAGGAATTTCTTAGATAGCTCATTATATAGAGGAGACGAAGAAATGGAAGAGATGAGGTGTTTCACCACCAACATTAGAATATAATCCTTTAGAGGCTGGTTGAAGATTCAGATGATATATAGAATCATGGACTAGATTGAGATAATTTGATTTCACCAATGAGAATGAAAGGAGAAAAAACCATGGTTCGAATCCTAGTAAGTGTCTTTTTAATGAATAAAAATAAATAATTGTGAATACCAAAATGTCATTCCTACTTTCACTCTGAATGCAGGAAATTTGAAATGAAACTTCAAGTTTTTTCATTTGCCTTTTATTTATTGTGTAGATTAGTAGAGCATCCAGATATTTTTATTATAAAAAAGGAAAAAAAGAAGCACAACAAATACAATGGCCATAGCAATTATATGTTGCTCAAGCTGACAAGTAAAACTCACCCAATTCGCCAAACTAACAACTGTTTTGACTTAATTATAAAAAAGAAATTGTCTTCACTTGGTGAGGTCACGAGTTTGGCCATCTCCTGTCCTGAATATTATTACCCACAAGACACAACTTAGTAGTGGATCCAAAACAGACGGTTCCTTAATTTCCCACTTGTCTCTCCCCCTTTAGTACAAAATGGGCTCGAATTTCACCACCTAACTTGTGCAAACTTGGAGAATTGACCATACATGCAAACTGTTATATAAATCTACATGCAATCAGATTTCTACGTTTCAAAGGAAAACCAAGAGAGAAACACATACAAGACATGGCGGCCGCTAATGTAGCAGCTGCAGCAGCACTTCTCATTGCTGTCTACTCTTACTTTGTAGCCAGAGGGTGCAACATGGTGGTGATGGCTGCAACATCCTCACCATCGCCGTCGCCATCGCAGCAGCAGCAGCAGCAGCAACTCGTGACGTTTGTGTTTGGGGACTCGTTAACAGAAGTTGGGAACAACAATCATCTGCAGTACTCTCTCGCTAGATCTGATTTCCCCTGGTACGGGGTTGATTTCCCCGGCGGCCAGGCCACTGGACGGTTCACTAATGGCAGAACCATTGGTGACATCATCTGTAATATTACTCTCACACGTACATTTATGCATAATATCGATCTCTTCTTTAAATTCACAACTGCTTACTCTGGTTGTCTGTGAAAAGCCCAGAAGCTCGGGACCGAATCGCCACCGCCTTATCTGTCTCTGTCGAAGAACGACGATGTACTTCTCAAGGGTGTTAATTATGCATCTGGAGGAGCAGGAATCCTCAATGAAACTGGCCAATATTTTGTACACATATTCATAGTCCCTTTAATTACTTTCTTTCTTTTACCCCTCAGTCAATTTAGCCTTAATTTATGCATAATGTTTTCAGGTCCAGAGATTAACACTGAATGATCAGATAGATTGCTTCAGACAGACCAAGGAATCAATCAGGGCTAAGATTGGTGATTCTGCTGCAAACAAGCTGGTCAATCTCGCCTTGTACTTCATTGGCATTGGTAACTAAACCTTCCCCAAACGAGCCAAAAAAACAACTAAAATCCGATCTTTTTGATGGAGTGACTTAAATGAAATTCGACTAATTGCGTTTTTACACTCCTGCAGGAAGCAACGACTATGTCAACAATTTCTTGCAGCCATTTCTAGCGGATGGCCAACAGTACACCCATGACGAATTTCTCAACCTCTTAACCTCTACCCTTGACAAACAAATTTCAGTCAGTCGCTAATTTCTACTTCTGCACCAATTTAATATTTATCATGTGACAGCTTCTTTTTCCGTCAGACTAATAGTCGAACTACCGATAAATTTCGGGTAACGTCTCAAAATTAAACAGCGTTCATTCCCTCAATCTGCAGAGGCTGTACGAACTGGGAGCGCGGAAGGTAGTGTTTCACGGGCTGGGCCCACTGGGCTGCATCCCGTCCCAAAGGGTGAAGTCCAAGAAAGGGCAATGCCTGAACCGGGTCAACGAGTGGGTCCTGGAGTTCAACGCCCGGGTCCAGAAACTGATATCCACACTCAACGGCCGTTTCCCGGGGGCCAAGCTCATGTTCGCCGACACGTACGGCGACGTTTTAGACCTCATCGAGAATCCGACGTCGTACGGGTTCAAGATCTCCAACACGTCCTGCTGCAATGTGGACACGAGCGTCGGAGGGTTGTGCCTGCCCAATTCCAAGATGTGCAACAACCGGACGGACTACGTCTTTTGGGATGCGTTCCATCCTTCCGACGCCGCCAATCAGATTCTAGCCGACAAATTTTTCTCTAGATTGTTTCCGGCACCCTCGCCGGCGCCTGCCGCGACGCTGAGCCCTTGATTTCTCTGGGTTTCTTAGTATTTGATTGGAAGTTCGCCGGCATCATTGCATGTAATTTCCGTTATGTCGTAATTATGCACTAGTGTTGTAAGAGAAGTGAGACTAGCAATAAGGAGACGAAGTTTGAGTTGAGGGAAGCCTCTCGTACGGGAGAAAAAACATTATTGTTAAATATTTTATGATGAAGTATTGGCTATAAGCTATTTAAGGAAAATTGTGATGGTTTTCGCAAAAATGGGAAACAAGGAAAATTGTGATGGTGTGAGGGGTAATGGACTACTGCTAAACGGTTAATCGATAACGTTGGTTAGTGGTTAAATAATAATCAATAATTGTTATTGGTTAGGTTTCGGTTAGCTATATTTTGTATAATGATTAATTACTAGCCACTAATTGGTTAATGATTAATCGATAAGAAAATTGATAACCCACCTATTTGTATAACCACATAGTTTTAGACTTTTGGCTAAGGAAAAACTCTCCAAATTCAAAACCAACCAAAGTCACAATTTCAAACAACTTAATTCACAGTTACTGTCTACTGCAAACAACCTTTGACCCAAAGTCTCAAATAATATGTTTAAGAGTCAGAATTCGAAAGTCACCCCTCTCCTTTGCGGTTGACAGAGCGAACATTGCACCCTAATAGTTTTTGTTAATTGATGTTTATGAATGTGGATTTTGTGGTCAGGGGCGTCAGGAATTGAGGTTGGGGGAGTGATTAAGTGTATTATTGCAATAAGGTGAGGAAATAATGCAATATAAAAAAATAAGAATAAGAATTTTATTATTATAACGACATCATTTGGGATAATTAGAATCAATCTAAACTATAATTGCTACTATAATATGTTAAAACAAAAGAAAAAGATAGGATAAAATAAATTAATCTTGCATTTTAATATTTAGCAAGTTTTTGAATATTTTTATAAATAGAAAATTAATATCCATCTTATTATTGTTTGAATAAATAAAGGATAAAAAAATTAATCATGCATTTTAACATTTGGCAAGTTTTTGAATATTTTCATAAATAGGAAATGAATATCCAATTTTATTATTGTTTGAATAAATAAATGATTAAAGTGATATTTGGCCAAATCAATCTTAAAAAAGTGTAAAAACGATCATTTTTCAATTCCTACAAAGTTTGAACCCACGTTAATTGGAGGGAATTTAAATAGTTCACCACCGGACCATCATTAACATAATGTATCAATGCAGCAAACAAAACAATTTGAACGTTTTATTTAATTTGAACGTAATTTGTCCAAATCCTACAAAATTTTGTATGCAATTCCAAATTCTCAGGAGTGTCCCCCCTCCTCCACACACACCCAAGTCCTACCTAGCTCCGCTCCTTCTTATGGTGCTTATGTTTGATGTAATACTAGTAGGTACTAGCTAGTTAGATGAAGATTTTTCCTATACCATTATGTTTTCCTTTTCCATTTCTTTAAATGCATAAATTAAACAGCCCGGTTAAAATTTTCACGTCAGCGGGCCAATTAGGTGTTCACTAGGCATTGGTTGGTCTCATAGTTAAATTTAACAGTCCAACTAACGAAAAAGAAGATTTGGTATACAATTGTCATTTCGATAGTTTCGTAACACAAATGTAAAACTCGTCAAATGTTGATATTTTAGTGGTATGAGCTCGATTTCGAATATTTTGCCTATTATTATATTTGATTACTTGAAAAGTGTTGACACCTATAATTAATTTGGCCTAAATTAAATGCCGCATTAATTAGTCTCGGCATTTAATTCGATACCGCAAGTAAAAAACGGTGTAGTTTGGAGTTGAGCGGCGTCGTGGAGAGTTAAAACGGTACCGCGAAACAGGAAAACGGTACCGCAAGGAAGCTCACGGGTACCGCGACAGTGGAAACAACACTGTTTACCGGGAAGCAAGATGTGGGCCGTGCGTTTGGTATTGGTGTTGGGAAAGGAGTTTTGATTATTATTATTAATTATTAATTTTTCCTTGTTGGAAGGGGAAAATCAGTACCTCATGGAGAGAAGCGGTATCGAGGAGAGTTAAAACGGTACCGCGGATTTAAAAACGATGTCGCGATAGCCTGATAAGCGGTACCGATTAATTAAAAACCATATCGGGTAAGAGACCAAAATTTGCCTAGTCCAATGTGAGCGCTGACTGGCGGTGGTTCCATGGATTAATATTTTTTTGGCTATATCAGCGGTGTCGTTTAATTCAAAACAGTACCGCGAGTAGGCCCAACGATGCCGCTGTACTACAGTGTTTAAAATAACAAACAATGTCGCGAAAGGAAAAGCAAACAGAACCGTTTTGGCGCTAATGATGTCGTTGGTCAACACGCGAATTTGACTAGTGATGACCGGATTGATCACAATTAATATTTTAATGAGTGTTTAGGATGGTGTCGTTTAGTTGAAAACGATGCCGCAAGAGGAAAGAAACGACACCGCAGATTATAAAACAATACCGCGAGTAGGCCAAACGATGCCACAATGGTTAAAACGACAGTGTTAAACATCATCGCAGAACTAAAAAACGATGTTGTTTAATTAATAACAGCGTCGCGAAGTGAGAGTTTGACGGCGTGTCAACAATGATGGCTGGTTTAATTAATTAATATTTTAAAGATTATTTTAGACGGTGTCATTTAGTTGAAAACGACGCCGCGAGAGGTATTAACAACACCGCGAATAGAAAACGACAGTGTTTAATATAGAACAATGTCATGAGAAATTTCACATAAACGGTGTAGAAACAACATTGTTCCGTGGAATGACACCGCGAGGATAGGAAACGGCACTGGTTAGCCAAAAACAATGTCGCGGCGAGAGTTCAGTTTTGACGATGTCGTGGACTCGATGTCATTTGTTTATCATGTGGACAGGGTTGTTTGCAGGATCGAACCGTGGTGGAGGATTGTCGATTTTGGGTCAGTGTCGTTTTGGCCAAGTTCCCTGGTGTCCAGGCGTTTTCGTACTCGTGGGAGTTACGCAACAAGGAGGGAGTTATCTGCAGTTGACAGGAATGACGAACGTGGGAGACAACGGCGCGAAGGCGGTTACTACGACTACTGGGAGAAGATCGGGGTATAAAGATCGAGAAGAGAGAGAAGCTCAGGACGGCAAAATCAAATCACAACTGCACCGTCGCAGAATTTATCTTTTTTCTCTCTAGTTCGTAGAACTGCTCTGTCAAAGACCTCCTTTGCAGAGTCGTAGATTGTAGCTTGTAGTCGTAGTCGTAGTCGCGGAGCTCTCCAGAGGAACCTCCATAGGAGTAGAGGTAACGTAACTTAGAACACTCCCGGTTTGATTTCTCGTTTCTCGTTGAACATCCTCGTTCGAACGTAGTTTGGAGAGGTGGTGAACCGAGTAACGGTTGTTTGATTGGAAATCAAAGGTGCATTGATCAAATCAACATCGCCGACCCCGACAGTGGATATTTGACAGTCATCTTGGTTTCTGTTTAATCGATCAAATCAACGGCGCCGACATTCGACGGGGGATATTTGACGATTGTGATTGACTTGGTGTTTTTGTCTCCTTGAAAACAGAGCGCATTGAACGCGCGAGTTTCGCCAACGAAACAAATTGGCACACCTGGTGGGACTCATGTGTTCGAATGGCTCCGCGACGAAGAATCAGGAAGGGAATGTTCCGCCCGGATTCATGGAGGAACAAGTGGCCAACATTGAAGGAGGCCAAGGAGTTGGTGCTGAAGACATCGGCGGTTCTGAGAATCCTCCGTCCACAGCTGGGCCGATCGAGGATTTGTCCATCCGCCATTTCATGGAGGAGAACCGTCGCATGTTTGCTAGCCTCAACAATGAGTTCGCAGGCTTCAAAGGCGAGTTTGCAAGCTTCAAGGGCGAGGTAAATCAACGTTTTGACGCTTTAACTGCACGACATGATTCTCTTGAGTCTCGTGTTGATAGGCGTTTAGGCCAACTCTTTGAAGTTGTGACTAAAAACAAACATGATTTTGATGTTTTTGTGGATAAAACTCTACGTGACATGAATGAAATCAGAGAGCTGTTGGGTAGACCAGTAATGCAACCTAGGGATTTGCCGTTAAACGGTGAATATAATCTAAACAGTGAAACTGGTTTTCCAAACAACGGGGCTCGAAACAGTCCGCCAAGACAAGTAGTTTCGCCGATACCGGTGGTGAACCCACCAACTCCGCGGGTTAATATTGGCGAGACTAGCATAGCCGCTAACACTCGGGTTGAACCGCCGCCATTTCACGGTGGGGGTCCGCAAAATATCCCGGAGGCCAGACCCTATGTGGCCCCGATGAGCGGTGGTGTTGGTGGAGGAACGATCAACAATGATCATGTTCCCCCACGCGGCTACCCGCAAAACGTCCCTCCTCCTCCAAACGGGCTTGGAATGGATCCTGGTGGATTCATACCACAAGGGGGGCAACTCGGGGGGCAAGACGTTAACGCGATTCGAGATCAGGTAGCACAGATGCTGGCGGATCAGTTTGGTTTAGGGATTAGACCAGCGATGCCGCCGGTATACCGAAAACCATATCCGGATTGGGTTGATAGATACTACCCCTTTCCACGCGGTTTTCGCGTACCTGATTTCATCACCTTCAGCGGGAGTGGGGATCAGTCCACTATCGAGCACGTTGGATGATTCACGGTTCAGTGTGGTGATGTGAGTGATTTCTTGAAGTTGTGTTTGTTTGGCAACTCGTTGACCGATCCCGCCTTCGCGTGGTACGTTAACCTGCCATCGAACTCGGTTCAAACTTGGCAGTAAATGGAAAATATGTTCCATGCCCAGTTCTACCGTTATGAGTCAGAAGTAACAATGGCAGACTTGGCACGAATGCGCCAACAGTCAGGAGAAACGGTGGAACACTTCTTAACTAACTTTAAAAATGCAAGAAATCGCTGTTTTGTGAACTTGACAGAACGCGAGTTTGTTAAACTTGCCCAGGGTGGATTGAATTTTGAACTTCGTAAAAAGTTTCAAGATAGGGAGTTTTCTGATTTGTTTCAATTGATGTCCTGCGCTGTTAGATACGAATCTCTTCTCCATGAAATTAATTTAAAAAATTGTGGGGGGCATTTGTTGACACCTAAAATTAATTTGGCCTAAATTAAATGCCGCATTAATTAGTCTCGGCATTTAATTCGATACCTCAGGTAAAAAACGG